CAATCCTTCCGCGTCAGCCTTCCAAGTAACTGGAACTACAGGCACGCGCTACCATGCCTGGCTAATTTTTTGATTTTTATTGTAGAGATGAGGTCTCGCCAAGTTGCCCAGGCGGGTCTCGAACCCACGGACTCAGGCAATCCACTCACTTCGGCCTCCCAAAGCGCGGGATTACAGGCTGAGGCACCAAGTCTGGCCAGTGCTGTGATTATAGGTGTGAGCTACCATGCTCAGCCGAACAACTTTATTTTTAACATTGGAAAAAGGATGTGAGTCTGAAGTATTCATTTCCCCCCAGACTTCCTGTACAGGATCATGGGGATCTGCCCCAGAGGATTCTTGTTGGGTTTGCCACCTAGAAAATCTTTGTAATGATGACATTGGTAGCAAATCCATCAGCATCTGGACAGAGCAATCTTTCCAACCTCTTCTCTATCCCTCCCTCTTTCTTTCTGGGACACTTCTGATATGAGCATGTTTACCAGAGGGCACAGTCACTATCCAATTTTTAAAAACCCATTCCCCTGGCTGTGGTATTCTACTTGATTCCTCCTTCCTTGGCAGCAGGAAGCAGACCCTCTTGCATATGAAGACCAGGTGTGGATTCTGGCCCCAATTATCTGCCACTCAGTGAGTCAGCCTGAATATAGTGAGATTCTGATGTTTGTTACCCCTTAACCCCACCATCCTAATATGTTAACATTTTGTGAATATCTGTGATATGCCAGGCACTGTGAGGAACATTTTATTCAATCACTCACCAAATATCTGCTGAGCTCCTTACCAAGTTCTACACGGTAGGGATACAAAGGCCAACCCAAATGGTCTTAACACACTGGAACATAAAAAGTGGGGCAAGAAAAAATGGGGTGTCCCACAGCCCCTGCCCACCCTCTCTTCCAATATTATGCCTTGGATCAGTCGTACCTGCTACAGTGTATACAGCAGTGATGGCCAACAGCCCAACGATGGCAAGATACAGATCCAGGTGCAAAGACTGCTGAATAAAGATGGCACCTGCATACATGTCCACCTGTGGAGACAGGAAATTGATGGGCGAGTGAATGAATGAATGAACAATCAAATGAACAAATGGACATTGGCAGCACAGGTTCTCTGGGATCAGGCCCTAGCTTGATTCTGACAACACAGAAGAGTCATCCATTGTCCCTTCATCCCAGATCAGGGATCTTAAGCAGGAGCCCTGCGAGCAGTTAAGTTGGAGACCCCTGTCCTGGGCTAGTGCAACAACCACCTCAATTGTCTTCCTGCTTCTACTCGTGCCCATCCTCCACACTGCAACCTTTATCAAATACCATCTTGATCACACCATCCTTGTATTCCTTCTTAAAACTTTTGAGCACCTCCCCATTGTCTGTAAGAGAAGGGCTAAGTACATAAATTGAGCTGCATGCCAGGCCCTTTGTGACTTGCCTGCCTCTTAGCTGCATTTCTTTTACTCACTTTTTATTTCCAGTCGTGTCGACACTCCAAAGTACTCCCTGTTTTTCCAACAAATCACGCTGATCCACACTCGTGCTAAGCCATGTGTCTGGAATGCCAATGCCCCTTTCTCCAATTAGTAAACTCTTCCTATAATGTAACTGCCCCTGGCAGGTTGCCCCGCATCTATATTTTCCCACCTGACTGCAAGTGAATGTTCTCGAAAGAAGCCCATGTGTCTGTCCTTCAAGTCTGGAGATGGCATGGAATCAGTTATTGTTGCTTGGATTGAATGAGATTTCTTCTGCTTCCTCTTGTCCCCTTCCCACAGAACAAGCTCCTCCCCATCCCGGGCTAGAAGAGAAGACAGCTTCAGTGTAAATCTGACTGGCTCAGCAGCAGATGCTTAGAGGGTGCAATGCATTTACTCTTTGCTACTTCTTTCTAGAAGATCTGCCCATCCAAAGGTCAGGGTGGGGCAGGCCCAATCTTCATCAGCACATCTGATCACAGATTTACAGCGGATGACTGTCTAATCCCAGAAAGAAGATAACAGTCCTACCAGGGGCTGGTGGGGTTCTTGGAGTCCCATTCAGTGACCCACACCATCCTGAGATGTTGCCAGAGAAGCCTTGGCAGGGGTAGGAGAGGGAGTCCTTTCCTTTTCTTGTCCTCCCAACTTCCTCTGCCCATGCTTACCCTCTCACCCCACCCCTCCCATCTTCCTCCAACCTCTGTGAAGCCTGCCCAAGAGGAAAAGAAGGGGATGGGGAGGCGTCACTCCCTAGCAACGAATGATTCCTTCTTTTCTCCCCATGCTGTGGAGGGGTGGCCAGGCCATGTTCCCGCCTTACCGAGATCTTGGTGAAGATGTAAATAAATAAGTAGAGCACAGCCAGGATGATGGGAATCCTGTTGCCGCCAAAGCGTTTCCGTAGGTATTCCGGCATCGTCGTGACCTGGAGGTCAGAGCAGAACTTTCATCACCTGCTGACTTCACGCATGTGGCCTCCCTGCTCCAGCCCTTCCCACTCTCTCTTCCCAAGACTCAGAAGTGTGAATGGTCTTCTTGGGATTCTCTATGGGAAATTTAGGAAGGAAGGAGAAAAGGTGGGCAAAAGGGTGGGGTGTGGAGGAATTGGGATTCTAGGCAGGGGTGTGTAGCCAGCGATCATATCCCCAAGAGTGAGGCATTTATGTATCCCCACCCAATGTTGCTGTGCCCTGTATTATTATTTATTCAATGATTTTCTTTGAGCCAACTGACCTTTTTGTTCAAAAAACTTAGCTAAAAAGGAAAGTTTAGCCGGGCTTGGTGGCTCAGCCTGTAATCCCGCGCCTTTTGGAGGCTGAGGTGAGTGGATTGCCTGAGCCCGCGGGTTCGAGACCCACCTG